GAAGGAGGAGGGGTAGGCATCAGGGAAGTGGTAGAGATAGGAGTATCTGGATTTAGACTGGAAAAGGAGTTGAATGGGGGAGAGGGGGGTAGAGGTAAGATGGTTTAGGGGTAGAGGGAAGAGATACTGGGGGAGATTCTGAGACATCTTGAGAAGATGGGAGAGGAGCAGAGTGAAGGACAGTTTTGGAATAGGCAGAGAGAGAAAAAACTCATAGGCATGCTTCCTGTCTGGCTTCATGTATAGTGAAGCCTAGTTTGAATCTGAGAACTGCTACCTCAGATTCAAGCTTATTATGGGAAGCCTTAATGCCCTAAATATGGGTAAAAAAATCTTCACTATTCGCCATGGTGAGCCTGAAATAAGAGGGAAAGAGAAACGGTCTACCCCTCAGGGTGCCCATAAGGGGTAAGAGCTAGGCAATTAACCAGGGGAATACTGTGCCCATGGCTCTGAGAGGCTGTTCATGACTGACACAAAGTCAGCCTTTCATCCTTTCAGTACGGCTCTCACACCTTAGGAAGTAAACAGAAGGGGATGAAGAGGAGACAGAAAAGGAAAGGGGGAAAAGAAAAGACCATGCAAAATTAGTTGAGGTGTGGGCTACAGTCCAAGGTAGGTTGGACCTCAGTCTCAGTTTCCTAAGCCCCCCCCAGCCCACAACAAGAAGCCAGGGAGGGGGGCGAGGCAAAATAACACAATATGTATGAGAATGCTCTTGTGATTCCTAAAGGTGTTGTGTTTGTTTATATTAGCACTATGTATGCTATCTTGGGTTCAGTCCATTTGCATAGGAAAGTTCATACTGAAATGCAAAAATAGACAGAAAAAGTGCTAGTGTAATAGAGCCTTGCGCCACATTAAATACCTGACAAGCTATCGTTGGGTGTGCTAGCAATGATATCAAAGAGCTTTTATATCTGCATTACAAGAGGCATATGTCACAGAAGAAGTGTCCAAGAATTCACCACTTTACTGATTACATGTGCTAGCTGCTTTGAATGACAGGTGGAAACTAAAGTTAAATCTCCATATATATGCTGCGGCTTGTAATCCAATCTCACTGTAATTTTTTATTCCATGTAATGTAGTTATTTCTCAATAGCTTTATTGGTACATTGCAATATCAATATCTAATAAATATTACTTATGATTTCCAAAAGTCAACATACATAATATATATACATAAACAATACATACATATATATACATGTATATATGTATAAATATATATATATATAATATATTATATATATATATAATATATATAATATATATAATATATATTTATTCCATGTAATGTAATGTAATAAATTAGAAAATTGTTGATCAATGAACAAAGCATATACTATAACAAAATGTAAACTTTGCCAGAATTTACAATTCTTACAATCTTGGAAAAAAGTGCAAGCCATATAAAGTCAAATAATCCAATTCATCACACATCTCATTTTCCTTCATCTTTTAAACTAAGCATATGTAGGACATATTTGGTGAAGCAGTGATATACCAGTGAACTACAGGAAGTCCAACATGCTTTTGACAAGGAACTGAACAGAAGTTGTAGGATTAGTGTAGCAGGAAAAGAAAGACACAATAGCTTGCTACAAAGGACATAAACTCATCTTCTTTGGGAAAATTATTTACATTTCATACTACAAAAACCTTCTGGACCTCTTGAGTTGTAACACATGCAAAATAAAGTTACATATATTCCATTTACTTACAAAATACCCAAATTAAAAAGAAAGTGATATTTCATACCACAGCTGTAGCAAATAAGGATTGCTGACTGATATTTCACACCTAAACTATACCTGTTGAAATTGATGTCTGGATAGGAGGCATATTCCGTCTCGCTTCCTTTGGCATTTCTTCGTGGGAATGTACAGAAAAAGGCATTGGCAAGAAGTGAAGCAATCTGAAAATTAGTATTGGTTCATATATATCTAATTTCTAGTACAATATCAACAACAAAAATATAAACAATACAAAATCCAACAAAATACTGTGTAAAGTCCTGTAATACTTCTTACTATATCAATATAGGTATCTGCATAAGCACATGTACATATCATCACCTATAATATGTAATTTACCAAACCTCAATTCCATACCTGTAATTGGGACAATGTGATGCTGTGTGTTGTTTGGCTGGTGAGAAGGGGTGGAGGTTGGGTAACAATTTTGGGCAAGTTGAGGGCTAACCGGACCATTGCAGGTAAAGTGTTTTGGAAAAAGAATTCCTGTTCTTCCTCTTCAAACTCCTAATGAAAGATACAAACATTTCATTGCCGTAGAATCAAATTTTAAAATGAGACGGAAGAAAACTGTACAAGCTATCCCTAAAAGCTGAACAGTAACTATGATGAGAATTTGGTATTCTCTGGTTATGCATATATAATACATTAAATAAAGAATTGAAATTCATAAACATGCATACAGTCAGGTATTGTAATTAGTGCTTAAAAATATGATTTCCGAAGTCACAACTGTTCAATATGACGAGTGCAGAAAATGTACAGATCATATCTTTATATTTTTGTTACGAAGAAACTTACTGAAGCTAATATTTTCAGTGTTGCATTTTATACCTTTATTTGATGAAAATGGAATGCTGAAATACACCAATTACATTTCATGAAGAGAAAATTTTCATTCTCATTCATACCTTTCCTACAAACACCAACTACCTTCACCTACTTCGCTTACCTCTTCCAACAACATCTGAAGACCTCTGAACTTCCATTTGGCAGCATATCTGCTGTTGTACTCCAGAATGGCTCTCTGTAAGTCTTCAACACATTCCATTTTTCTTGAGAGAGACTTGCAAATAATTGACCATCGAGGAATAACTGTGTCACTTCCCTTTAGCCAGAAAAAGATGAAATGCATTTGCTTAGTGAACTGTGTTTAAAGTCAGCACTGATCAATAACAATCAATATGTTTGTGCTTCCTTCTTTTAAAACAATGCTGTTAGCTTAAAAACTGTAACCTTTTTGCATTTTCAAGAGTGGAGCATACTTTCATTTATATTACCCAAGTGCACACATGGAGGATGAATGAATATATCAACATTACTTCCTAAACAACAAAAAGAAATGTAGTAGATAAGTAGAATTTCAGTAAAATAAGAAAACATTAAACTACAAAATAAAGTTGAGATTATGAGCAAAACATTGTTTCTGAATTAATCATATATATTCATCCAATTTTTGTATCTAAATGAGCCAAAATATAAATGCAAACTTGAGTCTTTTATCTATTCTCCCGCACTACATTTTGTAGTCGGAGGATCTTTGCCGTAACTTATTAAAAATTCCTTTCTGCCTTAGTATTACCTTGCCTAGAGGATATAAGCTCTTTGGAGAACATGGCATTCTGACGTGAAACTGATCCCAGATATCTGAGTATGTAGGAGGCTGAGGAGCAGGACACACATCTGGGGTCACTGGCAGCTGCACTAGGACTGTGTGATTCGGTGCAACAAATACTGGGGGAATGTTGAGGTTGGCGGTACTAATGAAAGGCAAACTCGATACTGGAGTACCTCTCCATGTTACCTGTTGATATTAAGAACAGTTTATTCAATAATACAATAATCTAATATTATTTTCTATTTCTATTATGAAAACTAGCTTTCCTAAAATTCTGTATGAAAACAAAATCTTTAGTTTTTCTTGCCATTCAATATTACAATTAATTGTGAGGATGTGAGGGAGAAAGGAAAATATTTATTCCCAAAGAGAAAAAGTGGACCCAAACAATACACCAACTCACCCCACTCTCCTCTGCCTGCTGCAATTCATCCTCAAACTCGTCGTCGAACATGTCAGGAGAACAGGCAAAGTCTGCTTCATTTGGTTCTGGGGAAGGATTGCTTCTGCCACCCATTCTGCGTTCTGCTGCCTCTGCTAGGATCCTGCGCCGTTCTGTCGCTTCTCCGCTTGATTTCCGATGTTCTCGGTCCTGAAGAAAGAGTTGAGAGGTAGGAAGGAGAAAGAGATGATGCGCACCTATGCATAAAGATCTTGGACAATCAAGCCCATCAAAGGATATCTTTTGATAATTCAAAAATACCAATTAAAAGTTGTCTTTTGATAGATTAAATGGTTTATGTTTTTTATGCTTATATTCTATGTATTACAAATGCCAAAAGAGTAAAAATTATCAAACAAAAGGTACAGGAGGACTGATGAGGAGGATGAAGATCATGATGGTGATGACAATAATGGCGATGACAGTAATGATAATGGAGGAAGAGGAGGAAAAAGAGGAGGAAAGGGTGGAGGAGGAGGAGGAGGAGGAGGAAAAAGAGGAGGAGAGGGAGGAGGAGGAAAAAGAGGAGGAGAGGGAAGAGGAGGAGGAGGAGGAAATAGAGGAGGAGAGGGAGGAGGAGAAGTGTGAAGCAGAAAGGAGGAAGGAGAAAATAAAAAGAATAAAACAAAAGGAAATAAACACATTTGCAACTGAACATAAAGAACAAAAAAATAGAGAGGAAAGAAAGAAAGAAAGGGAAAAAAATGTGAATAAGTGACACAATGAAAAAGGAAGGGATCCGAAAATTATAATAAACTAAGAAGTAATATGAAGGGAGTATTGAAGCTAAAGAAAAAGAAAATGATCAGTGGTGCAACACAAATAATAACAGAATAAAAAGAAAGACTACAAGAAATAGCACGTGTCTGGTATGCAGATTACAGTACCTTGGCTGGAGATTTCCCTGGTGTCTTTTTTGGTGTGTGTTTCTTGAGGCTTTTCTTTGGTGTTGAACCTTTTGCATTACTTTTTCCTCTTGGACTTGCAGCTTGCATCCGCCTCTCTTCACCTCTCACAGTTAGCATGTCAGAGTCGTCGTCATTATGATTCTCACCAGAGTACCTCTTTTTCTTCTTAGAGGAACCCTCCGCGAGCCCAGACACTCCTGGATGGTCAGTGTATTCAGAAGATCTTTGCCCTAACTTCTTCTCACGTGTTGAACCATTCTTTTCCTCCTCCTCTCGTGATTCATCGTTTCCTCTCTTTGTTAGGTCTCCGGCTCCTTTGTTATCTTCTTCTGAATCCTCTATGTTGGTGTCAGTGTCCATCATCTCAATGTTCTCTTCCATACTGTTCTGGGATGAGCCTGAGCCCAGTTTCATGAGCTCAATGCTAGACTCTATATTTTGCGATTCAGGCTCGGACTCTGTGGTAATCGGGGGTGTGGGTGGGTTGTCCATCCTGTCTCTAGTCTCTGTTACATGAAAGGAAGGAAACCTTTGATTTTGTAAAACACTCATGGACAAGAAGACCTGTGGTATATATCTGATTATTGGAAAGGAAATAATTAACTGATTATATGTTAGGCAAATACATTAAATATGTATGTTTCTAATAAAAAACTTCTAAATACTGCAAAGTGAAGAGCAAATGAATAAAATATATTGTTTACAATAACATGGTAAAAATGAAAAGAATTCAGAGCTATGCCTGTTTTTATCTCTATTTACTCATTCTTTTTTCTTTACTTTTTAGCTGATATAAAGCTCTCATATTTTACTTTTCCAGAATCATGACTACATGAATATCTAATTTGACCGAATGAGTTTCCGATTTTTGCTGGACATCTAAAACTTAAAAAAGAAATTTCATGACCCAATATACATACCACTTTCAGAATTAGCTTCAAAATATATTAGACTAAATATCAGCAAAATCTTGGGGTTACATGAATATCAAAGTGTATTTCATTTAGACCAAGTTCAAAATATATATGTGTATTCCTTGTTTACAAAAAACAATTTCAAAGATGTGTTTGTATCTTACAGGTTTGAGTAAGAGCAATATAGTTTAATCCAACCTCAACCTAAGCAAAGATTAGAAAAAAAAGTTGCCCAAACAATAATTACTTTTACTTGTCGATGGTGTGAACATGTCCATTAACGTTGACTGCCGCAACTTCTTCTTTGGTGGGCACTCACACATCACTCAGGTTTATCTGAAGATTTAAAGAAATATTATAACACTCTGCAAAATCTATTTTTACTCTGGATTACCCATTAGCCTACAGGACATTCTGCATGCTTAAATTTGCCAGAAGCACATTCTAAATATATAACTCTGAGTGCCAAAGCAAACTTTAACTATACGGAATCTGTTTATTTCTCGACATGGAAAAGCTACAATGGGTTAGTTAGGCTATACTATTAAAAAAAGACATTTTCCCTCTCAAAAAAGAAAAGAAAAGAAAAAAGAGAAAAGAAATTAGTATGCTACATAGGGGTTAGTCTATCCTGTAAACTCTTTAAGATATACCTACAAATTACGGGTTGAGGGCAAGTAGTAGCTGCGATATCTATCTGAAAAAAGTAAATACATATAAAATGAAATAACAATCTTGGATATTCATAAGGTTGTTGGTTTTTTTCTCAAGAGTAACTTTTCCAAAAACTTTCTTTTTCATAGCAGTGACTTCACGATCCACAGTAAATGACACCAAAGAATGCCATGTCTGAGGTATATGATGTAAGTCTTGGTATAGCTAGACCGAGTCATTTTGGTTGAAGGCTGGGGTGACTAGAAAGACTCACCATGAGTACACAACCTCTTGGAGGGTGATTAGACTCACTGGCATATAGAAAGGGGGCTTTTGCATTATTTCGATTGATAAATAAGTGTGGAAAGTAGTGTCCGTGTGCCATGACTGGTAGGAAATAAAAAATTAGGAAAAAAAATCACAAAATGTCACTTATTGTTATTTTTCTTGCACTGAGCTATGTACTACCTATAAAGATAATATGGAATCTGTGTAATAAAAACAGGCTATTACTATCTGGATAAAGCAAATCAGAAGACAAATATGGACATTGAAAAATGGAAAAAAAATAGCAAACTAAAAATGCTAAAGCATAAAATGAGAAAATAACACAACAAAGTAGAGCCACCGAGTCTTATCACCACACACGAGTGTTTGTGTGCGCCTAGCCTACAAGCCATTAATTCAATAGGCTACATGGGAACCTGTCTGAATGCCAGGGTTGATAAGGAACCAAAATCATGGGAACCCTGTCATTCAACCATGCTATTTTCATTTTCTGTTCAAATAATTCACGGCATAATGTGCATGAATTTGTTTTTGTTTTCCACTCCAAGTGCCAGGTTCAGGTATTAAGCAAAAGTATTGGTAATTGTTTACAATGTAACCACATCCCTCTGAGATATTCGTATATATCTATTCTAACCTGGGGCTTTTCCCTCTGACCCCTATTTAATCAGTGGAGTTTCTGACATCATCATTATGTTGTGTGTGTTATATTATTAGTGTTATTTAAGCCCGCATTTTCCCTGGAACCTTTCATGCCCTCCACTGTTATCAGGGTCACGTTTGTTGCCAAAGGGGGGTTTCCACGCAATAAAACTTACATATATGCATTGTAGCCAGCAAGAGGAATCCAATGATACTAAAATTGCTGCAGTCCACTTGAAGTACTGAAGTATTATTTATGTGTTGTGCAACTCTC